TGACAAAAAAAATAAGTTGTGATTTTAGGTACAACACAGATGCCATTACTTTTACAATCACCTTCACCATCAGGTTGTAAGAAACGTCATCGTTCTCCATCTGCCGAAGTAATACAACGAAGTCAAAAAAAGTCTTCCATCGATATCAGAAAAAATTCTCAATCAGGTAACTTTTTTCTTGTTAACATCATTGATAGAGTATATTTTTTTAGATTCGAAATATTTGAAGCGTAATAAGAACTGGTCTGAAGAAGAAACAAATGCTTTTATCAATGTTTGGAGCGATAACTATGAAAAACTAATTTCGAGCACTTGTAGAAATGCACCTATCTATACCAGAATGGCTCAACAATTAAATCAAATGTTCTCAGGGAGAATTCTTGATGGTGCCGATGTGAAATGTAAGATAGGAAATCTGGTCACTGAATATAGAAAGAAAAAAAAGATACATGGAGGTACAGGTGCTAGTCCTTCATCGTGGAAGTACTTCAATTTAATAGACAAGATTATTGGTGAGCTCTATACATTTATTTTAATTAATATATATTTTTATTTGAACTATTTCTCTCTTACATGATAAAACTACTTCATTTTAAACTAAGGATCAATAGAAAAGCACTATTACTTTTAGGTCAGCGTCCTTACAACGACGACAGTCTATTGTTAGATTCAATGAAGTTTGAAGATGAACTCGTCGAAGATGTCACCTATGAAGATGTATCCTATTTGAACTCAACACAGATTAGTGAACAAGTCGATGAATCTGGTACAGGTGAAGTGGATATTGAAATTATAAAAAGTTCAACACAAGATAATTTATGTGATATACCAAGTCTTTCAAACAGTATTTCTATTCCAAGACGTGACACAGTTCCAAAAATAAATTCATCTACGCAGAAAACAATTTGTAAAAAGAAAAAAAAATCTTTAGATCCAAAGTACGTTAACTTATAAATTTCATGCACAAAAGATGCACTTTTATTTTACATTTTTTTCACAGGATGGAACTAATGCACCAGATGTTAGCTAAGATTGAAAATGTAAACGAAATGGCGTCTCGCGCTGAGGTGAAAGCTCTCGAACTTTTAGAAAAGCAAACGAAACTTCAGGAAGAGAGTGTTCAGAATGAAAAAGAGCTTTTGAATATTTTCAAGAATATTGTCCAAAATAGTAACTCAGCTCGATGAACTTATCAATTTATTTATCTGTTGTTTTGTTGAATGACCATGAATTTTTCTTTATAAAGTTCTTCTTTTGTTTAATGATTATTGTATATTTAAATATTATCTATACTTCTTGGATTTAATTTGGATTATTAGTTTCACTTAGGTTTCTTTTTTTTCTAGATGATTGATTATATCTATTTGTATGCTCTTCAGTTATACTTATTAAAAAAACATTCATTACATCGTCAAGTTGCAAATATCACGGCTGAATATAAAACTTTGAAACGAAAATATCGTCGAATTTTAATACTTCGAGATAAACTTATCTCTTGTTTGTTTTTACTTAGTAATAATCGACTTAATTCTACTCGTCTCGTATGGTGCTATCAGAAGAATAATAAATGGTGGACAAGAATTGTACCTGATATGACAAATAAACAATTTAAAAATAACTTTCGTGTTGAACGTACCACTTTCATCAAGCTGGTAAAGTTAATCGGACCTTACATCGAAAAGAAGAACACACATCTTCGTAGTGCTGTAGTGGTACATAAACGTATTGCTTGTGCTTTATATACTTTAGGTTCTTCAAGTGAGTTTAGAACCATCGCGCATTTATTTGGAATTGGAAAAACAACTGCTACACTTATATTACATGAATTTTGCGATGTGTTAGTGAACCTGTTTTTTAATTGTATTATTAAATTTCCAACTACAAATAGTGAAATTCAAGAAACCATGAATGAATTTTTTACACAGCATGGATATCCTATGTGTGTTGGGGCTGTCGATGGCACACACATAGGAATTAAGCCGCCAGGTGGAGCTGAGAGCGACTATTACAATTATAAAAAATATCATTCGATTCTAATGCTAGCTGTTGTCAACAGCAATTTAAAATTTACATATGTTAACATCGGTGCTCCAGGTAGATGCAACGATGCATCAGTTTATAATCGATCAAGCTTAGCTCAAGTAATCAAAAACGACATTTATGCAAATAATTATATGGTGATCAATAGTACTCGTATTCAATCCCATATGATTGCCGACTCAGCATTTAGTTTAAGTAGAACATTGTTAAAACCGTTCTCTCAAAAACCAAACATGCCTCGTTCTCACACTTTATTCAACTACAGATTAAGTCGATGTCGAAGCACGATCGAAAGAGCGTTTGGTGCATTGAAGAATCGTTTTCGTCTATTACACAAAAAGATGGAATTCGAATTAAACAACACAATTAAAATTATACAAGCCACCACAATTCTGCACAACTTATGTGTCGATGAGAATGATATTCTTGACGTAGACTGGAATATTTCTCAGCCACTACATAAAAAGCCAGCATGTGCTATTCAAAGTGATAGTGGAACTGAAGTTAGAGAAGCCCTTGTATCTTTTTTTTTACAAAATCCTATATAATTTTTTGTTAAAATCTATCTTAATAAATTATTTAAAAAAATTATCTTGTTTATCTTTTAAATTACTATTATGGTCGAAATATTTTGATGCTTTATTTACTAAAATTAACTATTTGCTCTTATTTATACAGCTAAATTTTCTTTATAACTCATTGAAGTTGAACATTGATGAATGTTCTTAGTAATGACGAGTATAGTGCTATAAGATATTTAAAAAAATCCTATTAATTCATAGTTATAAATTATTCGATCGATAGATATGATTCGTGTCATCATATGATAGATAATACGTACTTAAACGCAATAGTAGCAGTAAAATAATAACAAATTTTAAATAAACAATATATTTGCCATCAGACTCTTCATTATTGTTACAGATACGCCTCTAAATTTTGATTGGTGATTTAAGTACGTAGTGTGTACGCGTACTGATTTAAAACAAAGATAATACTGTTTTATTTATGTAGTGTGTTTTCGGCCTTAGAAGCGACAGAACAGAAAGCAAAAGGAAAATGTAACGCTCGCGGTATTGATTGAAAGGAAACAAAAAGAAAATAAGACTCAGTAACATCAACAGGAACAGAAGAAAATTTCATTGGATTATTTTATCAGGACGAAAAAGAAATATCCCACGTGAGATCAACGAAACGAAACGAAAAATAATCTATCGTTCGCAATATCAACAGAACGGAAAGAAAAATAGTCTAACTTTCGTGATTACAACTGGAAGCAAAGAAAAAAAGTGCAAAGATATGATAAAATCAACAGAGAAACAGACAACAATTTTATTGAATCATTTCATTAGCAGAAACAAAACTTAATTTATCATTGGTTTTTGTGAAAATGATAAAAAAAAGAATATTTACACGAAAATTCATCACTAGCGAAACGTGAAACGCTGATCGCAAAAGTTTACTACATTGGAAAGAATGAAAGTTTCACGCAGTTATTGTTCAACTAATAAGCCTTTTGCAGAAATGTGTTGCACTTTGCACTCTTTCACAGAGGGCTACTAAAAAGGCATGTATTACAAATGACCGAAAGATGCATTGGTACACATGAAATATGAAATAAATAGACCTCGGCGAATCGTGACCAGTTTAAGCAAAAAACCCTGGGATCCATCGCCGCTTGACCATTTTGATGGGGGTCGGGGTATCGTGTCGAACTTCCAAAGCATTCTTTTGATTGAGCTCGTCGAGTTCTGTCTTGATTTACCATTAGCTTCACCTAGCCTATTGTTTTGACGAACTCTTTCAGAAAATACTTGAATCCTGACGTAAGATGTCCTACTTATGTAGTGAAAGGATTCGATAAAAGTCAACGAATCTCAGCGGACATGGAGTAAAAACCTCTGATTTTTATCTGAACATCTTTTATGGATGGATCCTAAAAATTGTTTCAAAAGAATCTACTCGTTCAAATATATTATTTTTCTTTCCATTAAATAGCATTTCTTTATCTAAGTTTCTCTACAGAACAAATGAAATAATTGGTTATGCAGCATAAATTGAATTGATTACATTTGTAATATCTGTCCTATATTCTCTACTTCATCAAGACATAATTTTTACGCAAAATATGGCGATTGAAAATTATGCAAAAAATGTTATAGATTATTTAACGAATTAATATTCTCTCTAGTCTTTTAGATCAAACGTAATCATAAAGGTAAATTCAAAATGCAAATTGTCAAACTTTATCACGTTTTATGTTTTCGGCTGAAATGTTTTATTTCGTCTATCAATGTTGATTTTCGTCTTTATGTGAGGATATGAGTGTGGACTGTGAATGTAGATGCCTTGAGATAAACTACACTCGCATCTACATCCATAGAGAGGAGAAGAATAATAGGAGGGAAAGAAGGAAAAACAACAATAACAATACAGTAGAAAGAAGAAACGAGAGAGAAAGAGAAAGAGAATCGAGGACAGGCAAAGAATGAATCACCGTTAACAGATCGGAAAAATAGTAATTGTGTTTTCTGTTTTTATAAAAGTTGTTATTAGAACAATCCATAACAGACTTCTAGAATTGACAGTGTGATATTCTGAGGTTGGCTTAATAGCGATATTAAAAAATTAAATGGGTCTTGTAATCAAGAGCAAGAAAAGAGATATAATTGGAAAATTTTCAGCAAGAGATGAGAAAACAACTTCTCACCCGTGGTATTGACATAGCGAAAAGAAGAAAATTTGTCTCTCTTAGGCCGAAAACACACTACAACAATTAATGTCGAATTAAGCAATGTGATTGGTGCAAAATTTAAAACAGAGTTAAATCGCCTCGAAGAGTCGAATTAAATTCGTGCACCAATCAATATCCAGTGTCGCTTTACCAATAAGAGCGTACTTATGTCGCCATCGATTATTTAATTTTTTGGGAGAGGAATATACGCGAAAAAAATGACCATCATGATTTAATCCGACGTCCGATTCATAAACAGTTATTTCTAACCACACAATGATTATTTCTTTTAAAATTTATGAAAGTTGTTTATTTCTTATATTTTTTTCAGATGTTGAGACCACAATATATTAAACTTGTTGTATCATCAAACAAAAACATCCAACTTGCTGCTCCATCGCAACAAGCATCACAAATCAGAGCTTCACAATTGAAGTCATATTGCCAAGGTTCTTTCTCTCATGCTTCAAATCAATTTTTACATGTATCATCTACTCCCTTAACGAATCGTGTTGTTACTTCTTCAACACCTACTACAAGTGGTTTATCTAATCAAGCAATATCACCTATTTTAGATTTTCAAGGGTCTTCAAAGGAGTCATCGTTGTGCGACGACTCATCGACTACGAAGTCAAATGCTTTCGATATTGTTCCCGAAGACGACAATCGTAAGATTTTTGTTTTTTTATTAACAGAAGAAATTGTTTTATATTGTTTTCTCTAAAAATTCTTGATCTTTTCTGGAAACTGTCAAATAATCGTTCTAACCTCAAATACCATTTTTTATTGGGCAGATATTATGACAAAAAAAATAAGTTGTGATTTTAGGTACAACACAGATGCCATTACTTTTACAATCACCTTCACCATCAGGTTGTAAGAAACGTCATCGTTCTCCATCTGCCGAAGTAATGCAACGAAGTCAAAAACA